TAATACTCGCTCCTGTCGCCCCGGAGCGAATTTAATTCAATATGAGGTGGTTTTGAGGGAGAAAACGGCGGATAACAGAACAAAAACAAACCGTCTTCCGTCCCTCTGTCCTGCTGTTGCCACACAACATCAACATACAGCTGACGTCACCGGTACGTCATTTCCGTCTCGCTGCTTGCTCCGCCTCTACTGTGCTCTGCTTCAGAAGCTGACCGTTGAATTGTTCGTTCATTCATTCATTCGTGTATTTTGTTTGCTGGTCAGCATTTTATGGTCCAGTAACTAGAGTCCACCTCTGGCATTTAGTGCCTATAATCTGTTTATTATGAGTGTTTATTAAACCCGAATGAAATGGTGACAGTGGAATTCAAATCACTGCATCACTACCAAGTGGAGCCATTTCAGATCCATTACTTTTGGACACCCTGATAATCATAAAATGCCAAATACCCTTTGTCTTCAGATAATATTATCATTTTAAAAATGTAATTTGACGTGGTAATCTTGGAATCAGTTCAAATGGGTAAAACCCAGGTCATGTTTTCACATAGGCCTACCATTTTACAGCAAGTGTGCTTATGAATTTATAGCTGTACAATGTCAAAAATGATATGGAAGTGATTTTCACTTAGAAATTGCTAGTAAATTTCACAAATAATGCAAGTAACATTGAATTAAACGTGAAATTTTGCAGTAGAAAAAATGAATGCTGTAAAACATACTCCAGTAATACTAAAAAAAGAGTGGTTTTTACAGTGTAAAAAATATTTTAACCCTCATAACGCAATAATACATTTGAGTCCATTTTGACCTGGAAGAGATACATAAAAAAAATCAAAAATACTTCGTTTTTAGTAAGGAAACAAATATTTGCAAATGCTTTAAGATTCTCAAAATTCACATCATTCATTCATTCATTCATTTGCAGATTTATTTACAATTATTTTTTAAGACATAACCACTTCAGATTTATTTAATTACATTTTTTTTAAATTTCAGGTTCAGGTAACTAATTTCGGACTCGGTGATGTATGGAGTAGGCTACCATTAGGTGTCAAAAATACTTTTTGTAAAATGATCTCCCCATATGTCACGCACTTATGAAACCGATGATACTTGATAGACATGAATATGTACACCTACTGACGAACCATTGCAGCATGAAAATCTGAATCCGAAAATAGTATACAGATTTTGAATGCAGATTTCACGCACTTATGAAACCGATTATACTTGATAGACATGAATATGTACACCTACTGACGAACCATTGCAGCATGAAAATCTGAATCCGAAAATAGTATACAGATTTTGAATGCTTTATGAGGGTTATATTTCAAAGTATAACCCTAATGAGGTTTAACCACATTAAAGTTCAAGCATTAAAGTCAAAGTGAAACATTTGCAACCGATTTTACTTTTGTAATGAACATTTTTCTGAACGCAATATATATAAATTTTTAAAAAAGTGATGTACTTGTACTGTCTTTCTTTTAAATAAATGCTGGATCCTTTCATATTTTGTGTTCTAATGCAATAACATTTATATTAAAATTTTGGTCAGTGTGTTCAAATGCTTCTTGGACACTTATTATTGTAGCTTATAGTACAATATAGTAAAAACACTGAAACAGTTGTGCTTCATGTTAACTTTCTGGTCTTTTTAAAATCAAACACTGCAGTTGCACAAGCCATTGCACCTTACGTTCTATGTTTTATTTTGAATGCAGATTTGAGGTTTAACCACATTAAAGTTCAAGCATTAAAGTCAAAGTGAAACATTTGCAACCGATTTTACTTTTGTAATGAACATTTTTCTGAATGCAATATATATAAATTTTTAAAAAAGTGATGTACTTGTACTGTCTTTCTTTTAAATAAATGCTGGATCCTTTCATATTTTGTGTTCTAATGCAATAACATTTATATTAAAATTTTGGTCAGTGTGTTCAAATGCTTCTTGGACACTTATTATTGTAGCTTATAGTACAATATAGTAAAAACACTGAAACAGTTGTGCTTCATGTTAACTTTCTGGTCTTTTAAAATCAAACACTGCAGTTGCACAAGCCATTGCACCTTACGTTCTATGTTTGAAAATTAATAAAATATTATTTTATACCACCTCAACCAGTTTTGCGTGCTTCTGTAATGCTGTGTATGTTTCAATTACTCTACAGTACTAAATAGAATAGAATAGAGATGACATTTTATATTTCAGAAAGAGAAGACAATAAAAGCTCCTTCAATACTTATAAACCCTTGAAATAATGTTTCTCAATAGATCAAAATGTAATTGCGTTTATTTCATACATATCTGGGTTTATGTATTGATTTAGAACTTCTAATAAGTTCTTATACTGAAAAGTCTAAAACCTAATTGATTAATTTATGAATCATAATTAAAAGTTAACGATGAATCATGTTATGCTGGGGTAACATGTATCTCTGGAGGAACTGTGAAATTTGTTAATATTTCCATTGATCTTATTAAAAATTGTTATACATATTACATTACACATTTATTGTACACTGTGCAGTGATCTAGTCCCTTTTTGCTTTAAGGGGAAATCTTCTCTGGTTATAAACATCATCTAAAAGAGAACAAGCAAGAGAACAAAGCACTGTTTTAGATATATTTGAACAAAAAGAGTAATCTTCAAGGGAATACAAAAAAAGAGAAGCTGTATAGCTGTAGTGATATTGTGTTTATTTCTCTCAAATGTTTCTTCAGACAGGCATTTCTCCTGAACTACTGCGCACGGACGTCACAACACGCCTTAACAGTGTAAAACCATTATTGTTGACAATTGAAATATAACAATTATTTTCTCTATTACAAAATACCCTGCTATTCACTGAGATACAGTAAATCGAGTGAGACGTCATTAGTGTCCTCCACCACTAGAGGGCAGAGCTGTAGTGATACATTTAATGCTTAATCTAAAGTGAAGTTATAACACACAATGTGATTTACAGTCAGTGATGAAGGAACATCTTAAAAACATGTGACATCTGTATGAACAACATTTCACATTAGAACTGACTGCTCACGTCAATTCTAGACGTTGTCTGTATTTTCTATCCCCTTAAATTAGAAACTAAAATAAAGAAAATGTTATCCAGCATAAAATACCAAAAAACAACACTTGCAACAAATAGCTCAAAAACTGAGCAGAAAAATCAAGAAAATCAAGAAGTGTTGTATATGATAGATATTTTCCCTCACTGTACTTTAGAGCTAAATATACCATGACATCTCATTGACAGTGACTATTGAACTATTGAAAATGTGTCTCATCTTTGGTTCAAATAATACATAACAAAAGTGCACCCAGTAATTCTTTTTTTCATTTGATGTTGCACTGACAGCCTTATTGGACTTACAGTACACTGATATTTAGCAATGTGGATGCAGCATCATGCTAAAGCTAAATGCACTAGTCACACTCATCAACAATAAATGAATCCTGTGAGCGACAGTATCAGAAAACAGGTGCATTTTCACAATAAAGTAATTAGTATTATATCTGGTGATTACATCTGGTCATGTGATGTCCATGTAAAAAGTAAAATAGCTTTTATTAAGCTACCAATATGGCTGGAGTCTTTATTTAATGTTTTTCAAAAATAATAATAATTTCTTTAGGGTTGCAACGTTTTTAATGGGGGAAAATTACTGAGTGCACCTGTAAAGGTAAACCCTTAAAGAACACTTTTGATATATGAAAAATTGAATTTGGTTATATTCATCAATATCCGGATAGATGTAATTTGCTGATACACAACAGAAGAACCATAGGCCTACATGAGCATGTGTCTTGCATAACGTTTGTATAAATCAATATGATGCAGGATTATGCACAAGAGCCTTCAAAAATGAATCAAATATTCTTTTCAAAGTGGCATGTGTATTTTAAAGGTTAAAGGCACAATATGTAATTTTAGCTGCTGCGTATTCAAAATAAACAGAGGCAAAGGCATAGTTTGATGACGCCGTGACTGAGTGTGGAATCATGGGAGTTGTCGTCTTCATCCCCACAGCCGATGCAATCCGATGGGACTCGGGCAGAAATCATGTTCATGGATGAGCTAATGATTTATTAGCGTAGTAGAATGAAGCAGGGTGAGGCTGAAAGCCGTCGAAGCGAAACGAGGCCGCTGAACGAGCGTGACACACGGCTCGAAAGCAGCGGAGCTTTTATTATGCCACAGTCGACCGCTTCCGCTCCTTCCGGTCGTGCGTATGTGGGGAAAAAAAGCAGTGCTGTTTTACCATACTATACTAGATACATTTGAAAGTTCTGTTATTATGCTACTCTGTGCGGTCGTCACCTGTCTAATAAAACGCACAACATATTAAAGCGTCTTTGGTGTTTCCATGTTTTCTACTAAACAAAACCAGAAATCGAGGGGTTATGATGTCATTGGCAGACGACACACTATGGACACGCTCCGTGTCACTAGTTAAAATTGCTTATTTCTCTGGATTTAAACATTCTTCTAAACATTTGGGATAATGTAAGTACACAAGTCAGCAAAATACATAACACTGTTCTAGTGGTTTTTGGATATTTTAATAAAATAATCTTACATATTGTGCCTTTAATTCATCTATGAGGAGAAAAACAACATTGATTCTTTTTAAATGTTCATTCAATTCAGTTCTCATTCTCCACACACACTTAGAATTGTGTGAATATTGAGTTTGGCAACATGTTTAACTGAGAACTGAAGCAATCTCTCGGTAATCAAAACGGCAAGCGCATGATGAGATACAAAGCATAGAATGGCCCCATCATTGTTAGCAATTGGTGAATGTCTGTAAGTAAATGTCAGGCATTTGAACCACATGATCGTTATAGTCTAATGATCTTTTTTTTTCAATCAAATATGAAATACATTTTCAGACAGTGCTAATAAACACAGCCATTTTCACACACTCCTCCATAAATATTTAACAATGAAAGAATAAATAAGCACAGCTGCGCAGTTGTGTTCCAGATATTAATTGCACATGACAGCTAATTAGTTAGCAGAAACAGCCAGTTCATAGCACCTGGCAGGTTTGGTTTAGATTTTATTTTCATTACAATGCAGGTGATAAAATGTGACAAGCTGAAGACAAATGAGAGCAACGAGTGCGTGTATGTCACCTTCTCACACCTGTGTATTTTTAGAAGTGAGAAAACTAGGAAAAAACTCCCTGCTAGCACCAAAATATCATGCAAACGTTCCATGCAAAAACTCCAGAATCTGATGGCATGTGACTTCATTTGATATGTGGGAGGCTATATAAATAGTGTTGATCTGTGTTAGTGTATTAGCTTGCTTAGTGCTGATATAGAATGAAGAAATTATATGAATTATTAACACATTGGCATGCTTAACGTTGAATTAGTTTCAGAAAATACAATGCAATGCAAAACCATAGAATGTGTTTTGCTGCCCACGTCTGTTGGATGTCTAACAAATCACAACTGCAACCAAGTGTCCTTTGCATTGAAGGGTACAATCTAAAAATACATATATCTTTCACAATGACAAATCAATAATACATACTTGTCATTTATGTACAACACAGTACATATACTGTTTAAAATGTCTCTTCTATCTACTTTCTGTTGTGCAGCTACCACATGTACGTTTTTGAAGTGTCTATCTGTGAGTTCTGTGGGTCAACGGTGCCCTCTTTTTCTTTTTCCGTCTCATTCTCCCAGAGGTTAATAAGTGGTGGGTAGAGTTCGTTCAGAGGAATGGAAGTGGTGTGCTGCATGTATTTCTTAAGAGAGTGGTGACAAGATTTCTGCTTCATGCGCCATCCCATGTAGAACACCAACAGAGCCATGATGCAGATGGCGAACATTGAGCCCATGACTGCTGCAAGGGCTACGTTGTTTGGCTGGGCAACCATTTCCACGGCAAAGCTGGCTTCTTTGGTGGTCACGTTGATACAAGAGTGCTGGGTCTGCTCAGTGCCAGCCATGGTCAGGCAAACTTGGTATTCCGTGGAAGGTAGAAGGTGAGTAAGGTTGTACTCTTGGACATCTATAGGGACCATCGCCGTGTAGCTGATCTGCGGGTTGTCGATTTTTACTGTAGCGCTGAGCCACTTGGGTTGTGACACTTCATGGCTGGAGGATGCAGCAGATGGGTGCACCTTCCATTCGAGCACCACAGACTGGGCATGGATGATTTTTGCCAGGATTACTAAGGATCCAGTGGTGTTCACCACCCCTTGATGACCTCCAATAGGGTGTCCACCATGCCAGTTGCTCCTATTCACATAAATAGAGACACTTCGGGTGTCGGCTCCCTCTGCATTCCAAGCAACACAAGTGTAGAGACCAGCATCCTCGGGTTCGACATGTGGGATCTCTAGAGCACCTTGGTCTTGCATCCGATGCTTCTTCGGCATTCCTCCTCCCTCATTCGAGGATGGTGAAACAGCTTCAGAAGTGACTTTGTCCCCGGTGGGTGTCACCCAGTAAAACTGAGGTGCTGGATCTGCCACGGCCCAGCAGTTGAGTGTTAGAAGCTGTCCTAAGGTGACGTTGAGCTGTGGAGGGAAGGCATGCTGAGAAATTAGAGGCAGGCAGGTGTTGCTTGCCCCATTCCAACTTGCAAACACCACTTCCTGAAGGGATTGGCCAACAAGATGTGGTGGGGAGCCACAAAGAGTTATTTGGGGCTCCAGAACTTTGAGGCTTGATTGGTTGCCCAGGATGGGCCCCCAGTTGGCGAGACAATCGCACCTGAGTGGGTTGCCATAAAGACTGATTTCATCCAGACTGGGGAAAGCAGATAAAATCTCATGGGGCAAAAGCATGAGGTTGTTATTGTGGATCAGTAAGGTGCGCAAGCCACGCATTTTCAGGAAAGCAGCTCGGTCTATGAAGAACAGGTGAGGGCTGTTGTAGAGCTCCAATTTGGCCATTTGTGGTAAGTTAGAGAATGCGCCCCTCTCAACCGCCACAAGTTCCTCCATGTTGTTCAGACTGAGTTCCTCTAAGTGGGGAAAGTCTCGGAAGTCACCTTTCTGTATACGGATAATGGGATTCTTGTTAAGGTCGAGAAACTTGAGGCTCGGTAGAACACGCAGGGCTTTCTTTGGCACAGCCGTGAGCTTGTTATCGAAGAACGAGAGACTCTCAAGGTAGTCTAATCCCTGGAAAGCACCCTCTGGTATTTCCCTGAGCCCCATTCCTGCGAGAACCAGACTGTGCAATTTAGAGAGGGGGTGGAAGTTCATATCTTGCAGTCCAAGAATGGGATTTTCCCCTATCATTAGGATCTCAAGGTTGGGTAGAGACTCAAACCAATGGCTATCTATCGCCATAAGCTTATTAGAGTTAAGGTGAAGCCTCAACAGGTTCCCCAAGCCTGAAAATGCATTAGGACCAATAGAAGATATCTGATTATGATTAATATAAAGCTCCTCTAAGTTGACTAGATCCTTTAGACACATATCAGGTAGCTCTTTAATTTGGTTTTCCTCAAGGTAAAGTGTGACCAGTTGGGTTAGGTTACTCAAGCCAACGTCATGGATTTGTGTGAAGTGGTTCTGGGAGAGATCCAGTTCCGTGAGGTTTACCAAGCTCTGGAGTTCTGAGGTTACCCTGGAGATATTGTTGCTCTGAAGAAGCAGCACCTGAGTATCGACTGAAATATTCCATGAGATTTTGCTCAAATGGAGTTCGTTGCAGTCAACAGTCTTGGCTTGATGGTAGACCGACTGAGGTGTGTACCATGGGCGGGTCTCGCAGACACACTGGGCAGGGCAGAAGGGAACTGCAAGGGAACAGCGGCACATAGCCAAAACGAAACAGACTGTGAGCAGTGAAGTGGAAATGGCAGTTCTCTCCATATTGAGGATCTCTAGAGTGTTGCGCCCAGTAGGTAGTTGACAGTTGGAGGGAAGATTGCTACAAAATGGAAGACAGGAATTTTCTCATCCAGCCCTGCAAAATGAAAAAGAAAGAAGACTTATAAATCATGCAGATTATATGATGCTAGTCGAGTGCAAATGACATTAACGGCAACTTTAGATGTGATATTTATTAGCATCAGTTCCAGAAGGCATATTAAACATAAAGACAGCAATTTCTGCTCTCCTTAAGATCACACAAAACAAATCAAAGCATCATTTTTTGCAATGACTAAATATCCAGAATTGACATTTTTAATATTCTACACTTCGTTTCCCTGCCAGTGCTCAGAGATCCCTCTGATAATTGATTATTCAGTCATCTCTCTTTCTAGTCAAACAGGGAGCAATTGTTAGCGACTATGCAGGATCATTCCGGCCTGCATGCAAAAATACACCTGCCAAGCACAGGCTCCGACAAACACATGAAAGGAGCCACACATCAAAGCCTGAGTGTGCTGCACCGTACGTCTCAATACCATCTTCCTGTAAATGTAAGTGCGCCTGGAAGAATTGCACAATCTTGTAACTTTTGAGTGTAACAGCTCTCAGAGGGGCTGTAACTGTACAGGGGAAAAGCCAAATGAACACCAATGCAATAAAACAGATTCCAAGCACTTTATCACACTCTAAACATCCAACGGACAAAATATCTCCAGGCCAGAGGCATTTGAGATCTCAGGAACATATTTTAGCCTCAAGCATTTTGGCTACTATCGAATTTGTTTAGCACCACCTGACACATATTCAATCTTCTGCAAAAACCAAGGCATTTGGAGTGAAAACAACCTACATACAAGAATGCACAGTGGCGTTTGTCTTCATCTTTTTTTCAATGTCAAAAAAAAAGTGATATACCCTGAGTTCAAACAGGAGCCTTTAGTGATGGACTACTGTTTGATCTCCCACTATGCCAGGGTCTGTAATGCATCGCTCCCCTGATTGCCACTCAGTGCTAATGAGCTGAATTTAACCGGCAGGAGGTGCAAGAGAAGAACCGAAGACTGTGAGCTGTTAATAGGTCTTACAGCATGACTCACACAGACACTAAACTACAAAAATCTAAAAGTGCTACCATATGTTTTCACAAATCCTTAAATGAAGATGAAGATCAACAGAATTAATTAGAACAAACAGCAATACTGAGTTTAGAAGATTCTTGATGGTGGTTCTCAACTGGTAGGTCATAGAATTATACTGATGGGAAAAAAAGAAAAAAACTCATCATATACTTGTGTATAGTTAGGATAGACAGATAAATAGACTTACCAATTTTTTAAGGCTGTGTTTTCGATCAAACTCTACAATATGTTGACACAAATTCATCTGTAACTTGTAGTGTCATTGTAGTTCAAATATAAAGTAACGCAAATGTCATGGGTTTGATTCCCAAGGAATGCATGAACAGATTTAATCAGTTCAGTTCATGGAATCAGAGTCAAAAGCATAAATGCAGAAGAAGCTAGTCAAATGCCAACAAGGACAGGTTGTGTGACATGCCCTCATCCTTGAAAATGATGAACGAAATATTCATTATTAAACAAAATATAACCGAGACTAATTTGTTTTGAGTGGTGAATTATTGGCTCACTGTAATGTTAATACACTCTGTTTTTGGTCACCACTTGATACCCAATCTAATATCTGGGTCCAGAAGAAAAAACAATTGAGAACCACTGATATGACACATTTCAAATGAAAGCTGATAAATGACGGCGTACTGAGCGGATGGAAAGTGACATTTATATAGTGAACCATGTGTAACAACAACTTTGTTCAAAGCACATCACTGAGAGGAACAAAGTTTTGCCTCTCACAAATCACACATCCTGACTGCACATTAGAATAGATCCAGTGATGCAATGATGCGCAACTTCCCTTTCTGTTATGTCACATGCAAAACACTAAGGACAGGGATTTTGTGTGCCTGATTCAATATTGAACATCTGTTTTACTAACTGCTCATCCGACCTTAACACAAACTTACTGTGGTGAAACCATGGTAATAAACATTGATTTGCACATATTTCCCTATATATTAACAATCAATATATTAAATTATTTCATGTATTAAATAATTGTGTGCACTTCAGTAACTGTCTGGTTTGGCTCAGCTACAAAATCAAATATCAGAAGACTACAGTGGACTGTTCAGACTGCTGAAAGGATTATTGGTGCTCCCCAGCCCACCCTTCAAGAACTGTATATCCAGAGTGAGGAAAGGAGCTCAGAAAATCCCTCTGGATCCCTCACATCCAAGCCATCTCCTTTTTGAACTCTTACCATCTGGCTGGCGCTACAACTGAACTGCCAGGCGCAAGTAAAGTTTCTTCCCCCAGGCAATCTACCTCATGAAGAGTTAAATGTTCTCTCCTACTGTTCAATAAAAAGATGTGCAATACCACTTTTATTTACTCTACATCTTATTCCATTCCTTGTAAATTCTATTCTTTTCGATCTAGACACCACAACTGTACAGTACATACAAATTTGTCTATTTCTGTTTATATATATATATATATATATATACATACATACATACATACATATGTCTATTTTGTTCATATAT